TGCAGCTGGACAGGGGCTGTGGTGGCTGCAGAGAAAACTCCAGCAGGATTTAGTACTGTCACCTGCCTCACTGGAGCCTGAGGTGCTCCTCGCTTAGCCTTTGAGCCAAGTCCCTGGAGGGCAGGAGGTAGCTTTGTCATTGCTCCTTCTTCCTCCTCCTTCTTCCTCCTCCGTGACACCTCACACAGTCAACTGGCCACAGGGTGGGTGGTAGCAGTTTGTGCACTTGGATACTGAGCATCCAGGTTCTTCAAGACCTTAGCTTTGACAGTACCTCCCCACGCCCATCTCTACCAGACCCAGGCTACAACATTGCTTCCCCAGGGTCTCCCTGTGGCCTCCTGATTGGCTTAGCTGCTTCCTCCCTGGGCCCTGCAGTCTAGCCTCAAACAACAGCTCAGATCACTGTCCTCTGAACCTTCTGACTACCTAGCTCTCACTTCAGGTAGATGACAGGTCCTCCTCCTACATGATCTTCCTAGCCCACTTCTACCAAACTTCCTCACTGACCTCTGACCTCCTACTACTCAGCTCTATCCACAAACTATCCAGTGTCCAACCTCAAACACCTCAGGGCCACTGCATTTGCTGTTTCTCTCTGCCGACAATATTTTCCCCAAAAAAACAACCTGACTTGCTCCCTCACTTCTCTGGTCCTCAGATGTCACCCACCTTCTCTCACAATCTGTTCAATGCACAGATGCTAAAACAAACTCTTACTGCAACAACCTGCCCAGGTTTTTCCCCCATCCAAGCCTCTGCTTCCATGCTTTCCTCCTAGAACCCCTTCCTTCTCTGCTTCCAAGGTCTGGATTCAGGCCCCTCTTCTACCAGCCCCGGGGATAATGTCCAAAACCAGTTCTAGTCCACATTGCTTTTAGATTCTCATATGAATAACTCAGCTCCCAGGCAGCCTGGGGTGTCCTCCACCCCACTGCTGTGCAGCATGTGTAGCCCAGGAAATCACAGATGGGAGGGAGGAAAGGGGCAGAGGAAAGTCTGTACATTGGGAGAAGAGGCCGGGGACAGGATTAGCTGCAGCCTCTTAGACCCAGCTGGTCCCGGAAATGTTGGGATGGAAAATATCATGCTCAACTCTGATCCCTTCTCCTACTCTTCCCTGCTGGGTGGACTCATTCCTGGACAACACTCCCTGCCCCCACCCCAATACCTCAGAGCTCTTAGAAAGCAGGTGGGGTAGGGAATGAGCTCAGGAAAGGGATAACCCTTCTGCCTGTCCTCCCCCATCCCAACCTCCTCCTGCTGGGTGACAAGACACTTAATTATAGATACTTGAATTCCAAATGTCCTAATCACCTCATCCCCTTCCCCCAGAAGCAGTTTCCATGGGAGAAAAAAAAAATCACAGCAAAGAGACAAGGAGGGGCAGGACAGAACCCTGCCTCCGTAGGTCCCTGCCAACGGGGAGCCAGCCAGACAAAAGAGCTGCAGCCCAGGCCTTCAAAAAGCAGGGGGCAGCTGGGCAAGATGGTGAGGTAGGGTGCCAGGTCTGCTGGCAAGTTGGGGAAGGAACAAGGCCAGGGTTCTAGGATTTGGGCTCAGCTCTGCCTGGCTTCGCTATATGACCTGGGGCTCTGAATTCTCCCTTTACAGCAGGCCAATCCCACTGGGAAAATAGGAACCCCTTAATCCGTTCTCTTTAAGACACTGATAAGCCAGGATGCAGGATAACCCCAACAAAAGTAAGGCACAGTAAACTGCCCAAGCTTTTCACATGCTAAGAAACCATCAGTGTCTGCCATATAGTGGACACAAAATAAACGGTAGCCACTGTTACAGCTATTTTAATATGCCAAAGTTATGTGGATTCATCCATCTACAATTCTCAAACACAAGTCATTTCCTGTTTCTGGGCTACAGACAGTACGGGTGTCAACAAGTATCAGGCAGAAGTGAACTACAAGACTACTCTGAAGCTAGAGGAGAGGATGCCTTAGTGCAAAGGTGGTCCATCAAGCAGACTACTATGGGCCTAAGTAGAAGGAACCAGGGGCCTGGAAGGGAAGGGTTAGGGAGGCCCACAGAGCACAGCCTTGGCGACCCACCAGCTGAGCTGTCCTTTAGTTATGGTATGCAGAGAGCAGACTTTTTCTCCCCTCCAGCCGCACTGATCCCTCCCCATTCCCTTGGCCAAGAGGCAGGCTGAGGCCCTCCAACAGAGCCTCAAAGACCAGGTACCTAATCTCCTAGTACACAGATGAGAAAACTGAGGCCTAAAAAGACTGAGCATCAGTTAGCATCCAAACCTCCTGCCTCCTCACGATGGGAGTGACTTTCAGGCTCTGACCTGAGGGAGACGAGCGTGAGGGACTCCCCACAGCCCACAGGTCTACGGTTCCCTGAGACCCCAGTTCTCTCCTCTCAGCATCTAGCTGGCTTCCCATTGGTTTGTGCCCCATAAGCAGAACTTGACACCTCCTCTTATCCCCTCTTATTCTGAAGGCCAAACCACACAATCTCCACCCACGGCACAGGGAGTATGACTAGAGTCCCAAGCCGGAGACAACGGAACATTGTCTGCTCAAGGGAGACCAGCAGGAAGGGGGTGGACAGCTGCTCCCCATTTTTCTGGAGCCAGAAGGAAGGGGATAGCAGGAAAAATTCAGGGTAGCAGATGGGAGAACTTCCAGGCTTAATGAGGAGGGTAGGGAAGGAGGCGACGGTGAATGTCTTCTGAGCCCAGTGACGTCCACCAGCTGACACTGAGGCCGGTGCTCAGCAGTGCTGGACCAGGCAAGGAGAAAGCTAAGCCTGGTCACTGAGAGGCAGCTGGGGCAGCAAATCCTGTTCTGCCCTCTCAGGGAGGGAGGGAATGATCACACCACCATTCACCTACAGAGCCCAAAGAGGCCATTATCTTCATTATTAGAGTACAGAAGGGGCGAGCAAGGCACAAAACGGATGAGGATAGGTCCTGGGCCATACAGGAATCTACAGCCAGTCCCCAGCCCTGCTCTGCTAATTACAGACTCACCCTTAGGGGCAGGAGGGATCGTCAAGCTGGGCCTGGAAAGTGGGAGGGCCAGCAGTGGGTTGAAGCTTGAAGGAGAAAGCTCTTTCAAAGCAGGAAGAAGCCTGCATATGACAGAACTGTCCCTTTTTTTTTTTTTTTTTTTTTTTTTTTTTTTTTTTAAAAAAAAAAAAAAAAAAAAAAAAAAAAAGAGGACGATAAATCTTTCACTGTGATATATCAAAATAAGACCAGACTGGCCTCGAACTCACAGAGCTCCACCTGCCTCTGCCTCCTGAGTGCTGGGATTAAAGGCATGCGCCACCACGCCCAGCTCAGAACTGTCCTTTTTGACAGTTCCAGGGGTAGGTCAGCAAAGAATGTGAAGAGGGCTAGAAGTCACTTCTGGAAAATTCCCACCTTCTCCCTGGTCTCAGCGCTCCTATATACACAGGTGCCCTAATCTCCTAGTTGTCCTCCACCTGCCTCTGCCTCCTGAGTGCTGGGATTAAAGGCATGCGCCACCACGCCCAGCTCAGAACTGTCCTTTTTGACAGTTCCAGGGGTAGGTCAGCAAAGAATGTGAAGAGGGCTAGAAGTCACTTCTGGAAAATTCCCACCTTCTCCCTGGTCTCAGCGCTCCTATATACACAGGTGCCCTAATCTCCTAGTTGTCTCCCATCCCCACCAATAGGGCTCCCATGCAAAGGAAAGCTGGGACTCCCCTCCCCCATCCTCCCAACACAGAACTGGCTCTGGTGTTTCGGAGTACTCAGTCTCCCCTAATAGAGTCTCAGAAGGAAAGACAGGTCTCCTTGTCTGCCGATTTTTACAGTCTCCAAAAGGAAAAATAGGAGGAGAGTTTTACAGAGAGTTAGAGGGGCCCTTAAGAGCTCTGGGAACCTGAGTGACCAAATTAGTCTAGGGTGTAGGGTTTCCAAGCTTCTCACAGTCAGCAACACAGTGGGAGCAAAGGAAGGCCACACAGTTGACATAACCCCAGGCCATTCCTGAGCTCAGTGCTCAACCCAGAGCTCTGCATCTAGCTTCCAGCTCCCCTGACAGGGCAGATGCTGCCTACAGCCAGTCTGAACTCACAGCCAAAACCTAGGCATGGCTGAAGCCAGAGGAGTGGGAGGCTTGGGGAAGAGGAGTGAGACCCTGGGCCTAGGATCACCCAGAAAGAGGCGGAGAGGGGAGCAGATGCAAGCAGGCAGGGTGGGAGACCAGAGTGCCCACCCTGACCCATGGAGGCAGTCCTCTGAAGGACTTTGCTGCTGAGCTCTTTGCCTCTACACTTCCCTAGTGGCTCTAGCTAGAAGCTTCTTTAACAGAAGAGGGAGGTTCTGCCAAGAATTGGGCCTCCATAGTATCCATGTTCACAATACAGACTCCCCCAATTCTGCACAGAACCACCTGGCTGGAAACATACTGTTTGATCTGTATCCCTCCTGACCCAGGTTAAGTCATAAGAAAGACCAATGTCAAACACGTAGGATAAGACTGAGGTTTGAACCCTGAGACTCTCTGCTGTTCCATAAAAAGCAAGGTCGGTACCTCTCCAAGTCTCCCAGCCTTGGAACAGACTTAAAGGCAGGCACATGCTAACTGGGACCCTAAATGAAATTGGTGTAGAGCTGGACAGTGAGACCCAGAGAAAGAGACAGGAGCCTGTCCTGGATACCATCATCTTCACTCACACTTCCAGTGCATTTACAGCAAAGGACCATGGGAATCTCAAAAACAGGTCCCTGAGAAACATCCCAAAGACCTTTGTAATCACCACCAGCACACCTTGGGGCAGATAGAACCTTTGACAGAAGCAGCAGTCTGTGAAGTCTCTTTGGGACCTGAGTAGACAGGAGCCAGTGCCATTCACACTCTTAAAACTGCTTGATTTCAGGAACAGATAAGCACTTTTGGACCTGGCACTGCCCACTGAATACTTGCAAAAGGCCCCTGCTAGGTTGGTGTTCATGGCTCTGCTGTCATCCCCACCCACCCCTAATTTCCTCCCCAAAGGACTCACCACTTGTGGCTTGCTACAGCACTTGCTGGCTGGGGCAGGCTCATCTGGAGCCCTGGCAACCTCAGGGGGCTTGGTCTCAGCAGAGGGCGGTGCAGAGGGCGGCAAGCAAGGTAGGTCCACAGGCCCTGGAGCAGGGACCTCACTGGAGCGAAGGGTCAGCATGTACTGCTTGGTGACATCCTCAAGTGATGGTGCCTGCAACATGGGGTGGCCTCGTGCAAGGAAGCCCACAGGCTCTGGCACAGCCACAGGGGGTCCTACAGAAACCCTAGGCTCTGGCACCACAATAGGTGTGAAGGTGGCAGGCACACTGGCATGGCGAACATGTTTGGAGGAGGACCGGGCCTGTGATGGGCTACCAGTCTGGTCCTGGTTCCCTTCCTCTCTCCGAAGCTCCTGGTGACTGGTCCGGGCTGGGCGCTTCTTGGAACCTCGGCGAGTGAGCCGAGGGGACAGAATGTCAGCCAGCTTGGGGTCAAGGCGGAAGTCACGGTGGGTAGTGGAAGAGGCAGGTGGGGCAGGTAGGGCCCTCTCTGACTGAGCCCGGCCCCTGGCAGGACCAGGTTCTTCTGGATCTGCCCATTGCTCTGCAAGGATAGGTTCACTGCTGGACGGAGGCAGCAGGGGTTCAACTTCTCGGATGGGTTCTCCTCCAGGGCCCTCAAATTCAGGCCCAGTCAGCTCCCCACGGCGACTAGGGTCACTCAGAGATTTCTTCTTGGGGCCCTTGCCAGCAACCCTGTCTTCTCCCATTCGACCCAAGGCACCAGGCCCCTGAACAATACTCTCCATGACCTCCTGATAGCCCTTGCTCTCTTCACTGACCACAGACCAGTCACTATGCCCACTGGTCAAGCCCTCATCCATAGCTGGGGTCGCAGGAAGCCCCATCTTAGAGTTCAGTGAGCCCAGAAGGTTGCTGTCCACAGAGAACCCAGGGGGCACCTCAGAGGTGGCAGCCCGATGGCGCTGTGGAATCGGGTCACTCAGGGATCTGTAGGCCTCACCTGCCTCCCCATTGCTCAGTTCAGTCCCACCAGAGCCTGAGGGTGGGACTTTACGTCTCCTTCGGAGGGCACCTGGTGTGGGAGGGGTCTCAGGAGACACTAGGGACCACCCACCCAAACTATCCTCTGTCCCAGCACCACGGTGGTTCATCTGAGCTGAGCTGGAGGAAAGGGGTCGCCACACCCCTCCGGAATCTAAGCTGCAAAAAGCAGCACCAAGAGGTTCAGGATCTGCCCCAATGCCCTCATCTGTCAGGCTGGACTCAGGGCCAGAGAGCTCCTCCTGAGACCGCTGCCCTTGGGTCATGTCCCCTGCCCAGTCAGGGCTTCTAGGGGAGCCATCACACCCATCATCCTGTTGTGCGCCCATGCGCTGGATCTTTTCAAAAACCTGCCGGGCCTCCTGCACATACTGATCCTGGACCACAAGTGGCAATGGATCCTCCTCTGCCCCAGCACCTGCCAGAAGCAGCTCAGAGGAGCTGGGCTTCAGAGCACTGGTGAGGAGTAGGCGACGAGCCATGGGCTTCTCTGAGCAACTGAACGACTTTGCCCTACGCAGGGTAGCTGTCAGGTCCTTGAGTGTGGGTCGGGTGGTGGGTGACGCCGGACTTTGGGAGGGCATGGATTCAAGTTGCTCCATTGGGCTACTTGCTGATGGTGAGCCTCGGCCATCTAGGGGGCTGCTCCCAGGGCCCCCACTGGGCTTTCGGACCCTCAGCTCTGAAAGGTCTGAGCGCAGAAAACTAAGGAGTGTCAGCGTTTCTGAGGCTATATCTGGATTCGATAAGGACTTGCGCTGTCGGTTCTTGTCCAGCTCCAATCCTCCATCCCTCAAAGCCCTGGTGGTGCCCACAGGTCCCTTAGTACGGGGACGAGTCTGGGGCCGTAGGAGCCCTTCTCCAGTTCCAAAACTTGGCGATCGATATACACCCCAGCTCCCAGAACTCCGGGTAGACCACAGATCGTCGTCCTTGAGGGTCTCGGTGCTGGAATAGCGGCTGCTACCTCGGGAACCAGCAGGGCTGGCCAGGTACGCAGGAAAGCTCACCTTGGCCACACGGAAAGCTCCTCCCACAGTGTCGGACATAGGCCGCAAGCCCTCTTGGGGACCTGAGACGCAGGGCAGCGAGCCAGTACCCCACTCCCGGGGTCCCTCCTCCATAGGGGCTCTTGGAAATGTAGGAGGTTCAGGGCTCCTGACTCCCCCTGCAGAGTCCACGCTGCCCCGATTTAACCCGTCACTGTCTCGGCTGCAGTCCTGATCCAACAGGGAGCTTCCAGGCCTGAGCCCACTCCCTCTCCATCGGTGGCAGCCCTCACCATCTTGGTCCTCGTCACTGCCCGAGGAGTGGCCGCAGAGGTAGGCCGGATTCTGAGCCCCAGGCTGGAGCTGCGGCTGCTGTCCCTCCTCTTCCTCCTCGCTGGAGCTGGCAGCCCGGCTGCGGCTGACAGGATAGGAGGAGGCAATGGAGGTGGAGGAGGAGGAGGAGTAGCAGGAGGCCCGAGCCGCGGCCTGCGGTTGAGAGAAGCTATGCCAAGAATGTAAACCATCCGCCGGACGCTGCGCCCGCTCCTGCAGCGGCTGCTGCCGCCGTCGCCTCCCCTCGATCCCCGTCCCGGACAGCGGCCGCGCCGCCCGCAGACCAGCCAGTGGGAAGCACGTCCGAGGAGGGGGCGTCGGGGGCTGACGAGGATCGCGAGCTGGGTGCTCCCACGAAGTATCGTCGGGGCTGGTCGTCCCTGGGGCCTCGGAGTCCGCACAGGGTCGCCTGGAGCTAGGGCCGCCGAAGAGCTTGCGCATCTCGGTGACGCTGGGCCAGACCCCACGCGCGGCGCCTTCGGCCGCGTCTTCCGCGCTTCCGGGCAAGACGCCCCCGTCCCGGGCCCCTGTAGAGTCGTTGTCCAGTCGCGCAGCGTCGAAGCGCCGGGAGAGCTGGCGCACCGAGGGCGAGAGGCTGCGGAGCGGGCGCGGCTGCGCGGGGGCGGCCGGGGGCTCCGACGCCAGCTTGGACACGCGCCGGGAGGGCTGGCCCGGGATGGCCGTGACCGTGACCGGCCGGCACGAGGCTCGGCGCCGTAACCCGGGGGTGTCCGCGTCCTCCTCGCTCGGCCCGGGTCCGCCGCTCCAGCGCTCCAGCAGTTTGAACGACACGCTGCGATACAGTGGGGGCCGAGGCGACCCGTCCGCCATGGTGGCTACAGTCACTCCGGGGGGGCTGGCCTCGGGGAGCCGCGGCCAACCCCCCCCTCCACTCCCGCGGCAGAAGAGCTCAGTGGCAGCGGTCGGAAGGCCGGGGTCCTACACCCACAGCGCGCGGAGGTTTGGGAGGAGAGCACTGAGAGACCAGAGCAGAGGTTTATCAGTCGTGGATCAAGTTTCTGCGACTGCGGGCGGCAGCAGCTCCATTCGGGCGGCCCTTCTAGCCCCAGCGGCGACCCCAGGCCCAGTCCTAGCCTCAGCGGGAGCGGCCAGGGGCATCGCGGCCCGGCCGGAGAGGAACCCGAGGCTCAGTTCTTTGACTCTGCGTCCGCCTGTAGCAGCCCGGCGGCCGGCCGGCCTCCCCTCGAGCTCCCGCTCCGGCTCCCGCTCCCTACCTCCCCCCCCAAGCTGTTCGCTCCAGGCTCCCTTTTGTTGCAAATAAACTTTGTGGCACAGGAAAGGGGGCGGGGGGCGGAGCCTGGCGCCCAAAAGAGGGGGTGGGCTCCGGTAGCGCGCGAGGCTGGGATCACAGTGGGGGGGAGGGAATTGGGGAGGAGCTGAAGGAGAAACAAGATGCCCGAATTTTTGCCGACCGAAACGACCCTCGGCTAAAGTCCCTCGGGGGCGCCGCGGGCGGATCTCTCAACCCCCCACCCCCGCCTCGGGGACTCGGTCAGATGCTCGCAAGCTCCGAGCGTGGTCAGTTCTTCAGAACACAGACTCGTTGGTGCACCGCCGTTCAGCCACTTTCGCGCGGGAACCTCTGCCCGAGGGGCTCTCCAACATGGCAACCCAAGACTCACAAACTGGTACACACAGATACCCAGGTACACGCAGAAACTCTACAGGCCGGGAAAGGGGTGGAACCCAGTGCTTGCAGAGCCGTGGGCAGGGCAGCTCGCCCCCCCTCCCCGCCCCAGCACGCTCGCCACGCCCTGCCTTGCTAGTAACGCCCCCTTTACCCCTCCTACCGTGGCAAATCCCACTACACCACTCCCATGTCCCGCCCAGAACCCTCCCGAACACCACACCCATCCCACCTCGCGAAGGCCTGTCCAGCTCAGACCTTCCCTTAACCAACCCAATACCGCAGTAGAAGTCCCACCTCTCGAGACCATTGACCCCTACTACTTTTCCAGCTGCCACGCCCCCCCACCTGCCCCCGCGGTCCCGGCTGCCTCTAGTCTGTGCACTCCGCCCCCTCTTCTCCTTGTTGTCGGGATACGTGGCTCTTGCGCCCTCTGTGGGCCGGATTCTCCCAGCCCTCGGAGCCCTAGACTGATAAAGCTCCATCCACCCACAACCAACCATCTTAAGAGGTAGGAAAGTTTCACTTACTTTCAGTTGTTTCCTAGTCCTCTTTGCAAAGCTCTCCTCACTTTCTGTGGCCTCACAGACAAAAGAAACTGGGACGGAAACGCCCAGGACTTCTCTCAGCCAAACCTATACTCCTACCTGCGGCTGCTCCACCCTCCAGACCAGGAAGGTAGATGGATTCTCCTGCTTCAACAATGATCTACCCCAGAGCTCCCCTCCCGCCTCTGCCGCAGTCTGGCAAGTCTGAAGTTGTTCCGGTTGCTGGGGCGGCACCCCCTTCCCACCCTCATCTTCTCTTAGGTCGCACTCTTCCCAGGCGGTTTAAATGTAGGACTCTGGATCTACCATGTATAGGTAATATTTCGTGTATTTTATTTAATCCTCAAGCCACCATTGGAGATGGAAGCTATTGGAGAAGTAACATTGGCTGGTGTTGAAGTCGGATGGAAAAGGACAGCTTCTGATAGTACTCAAATTCTAGCTTTAAGTTCTTCTAACAGCATGCTCCTTCAGATACCTTTGCCTGACTTCAGATCTTGATGAAGGAGGAGGTTCTGCTGCATTTAAGCCCCAACAGCCATAGCCTCTTTGTCGGTAGGCATAGCTCACTCACTCTGCCTGGGAACAGGACAGCCCGGTCTGCCCCAAGCTCCCTTAGCTCTGTTATATATGCATGGGCTTCCTTCAACCCTCACCTGCTAAGTAACTCTGTAGGTTGGCAGTGCACCTTACCCAGCCAACCCCATGGCCACACTAGTCCCAGCAAAGAGACTCAGTGCAGCAGAGTATCTGGATGTGAGGGAAAATAACCGGAGAATAAGGGAAGGACTCCAGTAGTACCCGAATGCCTACTTGCTGCTCATATAGCCCCTAGGTGAGGAGCTCTTTCTCTTCTTCCTAGACAACTCCTCTTCTGAATTGAGATCAGTCTCCTGAGAGTCGAGTGCCTAGCTCAACTTTCAGCTCTGCCTCAAAGGGTCTAAGAGGGCTGTGCCTTTCTGCTCTGCCTTGCTGTGTGACCTTGAATAACCCTCTGTGCTTCTCTGTGCTTCAACTGACTTGTCTGAAAAGTGAGGAGTGGATCAGGTTTCCCAAAAGCAAGTGTAGGTGTGTATAGAGTCGCTGCCTTACTCATAATGATGTGTTCTTTTCTTTCACTTTTCCATTCTCATGTGACTTGATTGACTCTCAACAAAAAAAAAATAAACCAGCCAGGACCTTTACAGTACCTTCCATCTTGTTCTTGCTGTCCTACCACTGAGGGACAGCCTTGGCCTCATCTCACATCTATGAGAGTCTCTCTCTCTCTCTCTCTCTCTCTCTCTCTCTCTCTGTCCCTCCCTCCCTCCCTCTCCCTCTCCTTCTCTCTGTCTGCCTCAGTTCTTAAGGTGGTGAGAGGCCCTGCCAGGAGGTGTTGCATGGGGAGGATGAAGTGGGATATTTCATGAAGGGACTTGATAGTGGGCACAACATTTACTGGTCTACTAGTAATGGGGGCAAGGCTGTGACAGCTGACTGCTTATAGCAGTATGGTGTTTGGTTTTGTTTTTAATATTTTATTTTTATTATTTTTATTTTATGTATGTAAGTATATTGCCTGCATGCATGAATGTGTACCTTTGTTGTGCAATGCCTACAGAGGTCAGAAGAAGCTGTCGGATCCCCTGGGACTGGAGTTACAGACAGTTTTTAGCTGTCATATGGGTGCTGGGATTTGAACCTGGGTCTTCTGCAAGAACAACCAGTGTTCTTAACCACTGAGCCATCTCTCCAGCCCCTCTTTTTTTAAAAAAAAATATTTATTTTTATATTTTATGTGTATGCATGCATGTATTGCCTGCATGTAGGTAAGTGCACCCATGTCGTGCAATGCCTGCAGAAGACAGAAGAAGCTGTTGAATTTCCCTGGAACTGGAGTTATGGACAGTTGTTAGCTGCCATGTGGGTGCTGGGATTCAAACCCGGGTCTTCTGCAAGAACAGCCAGTCCAGTGTTCTTAACCGCTGAGCCATCTCTCCAGCCCGTCTTTCCTTTCTTTCTTTCTTTCTTTCTTTCTTTCTTTCTTTCTTTCTTTCTTTCTTTCTTTTAAGATTTATTTTTATTTTATGTATATGAGTGTTTTGTCTACATGTGTGTATGTAAACTACATGTGTGCCTGGTGCTACCATGTGGGTGCTGGGAACCAAACTCCAGTCTTCTGCAAGAGCAGTAAGCGTTCTTGCTTTTTTCTTACATGATTTTATTGTATCTACATACTACCTCAAACTATTTTCATTTTCGTTTTTTTTTTATGTTGGTTTTTGTTATTGCTGCTATTATTGTTTTGTTTTGTTTTGAGACAAGTCTTATTATGTGTAGACCAGGCTGGCCTTAACCCACTATCCTCCTGTCACAGCCTCCAGAATGCTGAGGATTATTACAGGCAGGCACCATTCCATCTGGAATGCTTTTATGGAGGGCTTTTTGGCTTTTTGAGGCAGGATCTCCCTGTAGCCCCAGCTGGCCTGGAACTCGCTGTGTAGACCAGGCTGGCCTCAAATTCACAAAGATCTGCCTGCCTCTGCCTCCTGAGTGCTAGGATTAAAGATGTGTGCCACCATGCCTGGCTCCATCTGGATGCTTTTGAAGTTTTGTAGCTCTGTGTGTGCGCGAGCGTGTGTGTGTGTGTGTGTGTGTGTGTGTGTGTCTATACAGAGTTCTGTGTTGCTAAGGATTGAACCCTGGACTTCATATATGCTAGACAAGTGCTCTACCACTGAGCTGTATCCCCAGCACTCCCTGCCCCTATTTATTGAGACAGGGTCTCACTAAATTTCTTGGACTGGCCTTGAACTCATTCTGTAGCCCAGGCAGGCCTTGAACTCAGTGTTCTTGCCTCAACCACTCCCTCAAAGAAGCTTTGATTACAGGCTTGTGCCACCAGGTCCAGCTGGTTGTTTTAGTTTTTTTGAGTGTTGGGTCAGCAGGTAAAGGCCCTTGCTACCAAGCCTGGCAACCTGAGTTCGAACCCTGGGACCCACATGGTGGACAGAGAACCAACTGAAAGTTGCCCTTATGATGGTTTGAATGAGAATGTCCCCGGTAGGCTCCAAGTATTTGAGCAATTTGTCCCCAGTTAGTGCTGCTGTTTGGAGAGCTCTTAGAAGGTGTGGCCATGCTGGAGGAAGCATGTCACTGGGGGTGGGCTTACAGAGTTCTTAAGCCTTGCCAGATCTCCAGTTGTCCTCTGCTTCCTGTGCCTGCTTGAACATGTGAGTGCTTAGCTTCTGCTCCTACTCCAGCTACCTCTGCCACCATACCTCCCCACCATGATGGACTCTCACCCCTTTGGAACCATAAGCTAAATAAAAATCTTCCTTTTATAAGTTCTCTTGGTCATGCTGTTTCTATCACAGCAATTGAAAAGTAACTACTACACCCTCTGATCTCCACACCATACATCATAGTATGTATGCCCACACATACACAATAAATAATCAATAAATCTTAGTTTTAATTTCTAAATTTTATTTTATTTTATATGTATGAGTGTTTTGCTTGCATGCATGTAAGCACATCCATGTTGTACAGTGTCTGCAGAAGCCAGAAGAGGGTGTTGGATTGATCCCCTGGAACTGGAGTTAAAGATGGTTCTTAGCTGCCATTGGGTACTGGGAACTGAACCCTGGTCCTCTGTAAAAGCAGCCAGTGCTCTTAACCACTGAGCCAGCTTTCTAGTCCCCCACCCCTCTTTTTTTGTCTGTCTTTTTTTTTTTTTTTTTTTTTTTTTTTTTTTTTTTTGGTGTGTGTGTGTGTGTGTGTGTGTGTGTGTGTGTGTGTGTGTGTAGTGT